ATTATAATAAAACTTAACTATAATAAAAATTAATTATTATAATATTTAATAATAAAACTTAACTACATAATAAAGTTTAATAAAGTGTAGTGACTTAATAAAATGAATAGGTTGTTAACCTTCAAGTAGTAGGTCTAAGATTTAATTTCTATAAATAATGAATTTTAAAATTTATATCTGTATTATAATAACTGTCTTTTGTTAATTGGTTGAGTTTTAGACATCTGTAATCTTAGATATATCAAGTTGGATCTTATATAATATTAGAAGCTTAGGGCATCTATACAAAATATAACATTACATGTATATAGAAAAATGTAAAAAACCAATGTCACATAAGGCTTTAGTACAACCTTATAATAAGACCATTAGGTATAAAAGACTAAAAAACCAAGAAGACAGAAACCTACTTGGAAATTCTAAGTAAAGAGATAGTACAAACTTTTAATAGTGCTATTGAACTGATGAAAGTTTATAAAACATTTTTATAGAAATTGTCAAATAAACTGAATGATAAGATCTGTAAAAGAGCATATAACCAACCAGACCACTAGAATTAATAAAAAAAAAGAATATATAAGTATATTATATTAGGCTATCTAAATTTAAAGTTTGGAAAGTTTTTAATTCTAAGTTGTGGCTAATAAGAAATAATAAAAAAGATATTAAAAAAATAAGTATTAGAGTTTAAATGAACTTCACAAGGGTAATAACAGTTTAATAGATAACTTTAACTGCAAGTGTTGGTCTCAACTATAGTAGAAAATCCAAGTTAGCAATAAATAAAAAATATATAGCTTACTTTGATAGGTTTATCCTTAAGTATAAAATTGTTTTAAGGTTGAGACAAGAATTTAGATACAAGTAACCTAGTGAAGTTAGTATAAGGATTTTAAATTAAATAGTTTAAATAAAATATCTAAATAAGTATTTTTGAGAAGACTTTTTAAATAGGTAATATAGAAAAGTTACACATATAGCCAGTTGTACACTTTTTGTAATGTCTAACAAAAGTATTAATAAAATCAAAAAACCAAAGAAGTTATATTAAATAACAAAAAAAAAATAATAAAGTTTAATTTTATTATAATAATTGCAAAACTTGATTATAATAAAACTTGATTATACTAAAATTTGACTATGTTAAAACTCTAATTAATAAATTAAAATTTTTTATTTTTGCTAAAGCTGATATTAATAGCAATAGTTAATCTTTAATATAACTAAACAAATATGATTATTATATAATTATAATATATATAAATTTATTATTTTGAATCAATTAAAGTAAATTTTCAAATATTTAAAATCAGAGTTAGAGTTATAATATAAATTGGCTCAAATTAGATAGGTTTTATATATTATAATCTTATAATAATTTATATATGTTTATTTTTACTAAAGAAGATCCAATAACAATTATTATTTTTATTATATTTTTAATTATATATTATATAAACTTGTATAAGATAAGTATAAAACTAATTACATATGCAACTTTTGATTATTTATTTAAATAGTTTATTTGCAAGTTCTACACTAGCTATTATATTTGTAATCTACTAAAAAATTATCTATTTAAACACTCTAATTATTATACTATACCAAATAAATAATAATCTAATTCTTATATATCTAAGTGCTGTTTAATCTAATATTTAGTCTTCTTTTTATATATTTGTTAAGCTATTATCTATTTTAAAACATATTATTTAATTGTAAAACTTAAAACATCTTTTTGTTAACTAACTTACTTATTTTATAAACTATTAATAAAATTATATTCTTATAAAGTTTATTTAAATCTTAGTACTTACTTTATAATATAGTTTTAGTACTTTTAATATATTTTTGTTTTGTTATCAAACTCCTAATTTAGATAGTCTGATAGAACTGTAATTTGTTTTTGATATATTAAGTCTAGCTTGATATTTTTTCTTTTAGACCAATTTTGATAGCTTAATTAATAATATCTTTTATTTAGAAGTTTTTGTCTATTTGGTTTTTTTATATTGATATTTATTTTCTAAATTTAGTCTTTATAGTAATATTATTAAAAATCTGTATTATTTTTTTACTTGGTTTTCCTAAATAAACTTAAATTAAAAATTCATTAAACTAAAAATATTAATAACTAAATATATACTAAAGAACTAACTTACAACATTAGTAATAATATTAATAATAACAAAAAACTAACTAACAATACCAATAATAATATCAATAACAATAAAGAACTAACTAATAATATCAATAATAATATCAATAATGAAAAGTATTTGAAAGAGAAAAAGTATAAAAATTAGTACTAAGAACAAATAAAATAAAAAAAATTCTACTAAACTAAAAATATTAATAACTAAATATATATCAAAGAACTAACTAATAACACTAGTGATAATATTATTAACAACAAAAAACTAACTAATAATACTAATGACAACATTAATAGTATAAAGTATTTAGAAAAAAAAGTACAAAAATTAGTACTAAGAACAAATAAAACAAAAAAAACTTTACTAAACTAAAAATATTAACAACTAAATATATATCAAAGAACTAACTAATAATAAGATTTCTCAAATTCAAATTAAATTAAATATTAAATTAATTTAAATTTAGTTATCTTTGATTTTGATTTGATTTAATCAAATATTTGAATTAAATATTTAAATTTGATTTAATTTTCAAAAAAATTCAAAAGTTTAATTAATAAATAGAAAACTTAATTTATAAAAAATTTAAATATATTAATTAATTTTAAGCTCTTAAGTAAAAGTGTTTAATTAAACAAAATATTACTAGTTTTATAGAATAAAAAAGTAGATTGTTTTAATAAAATTTTAAGTAAATAGCTTATAATTTTGAATATTTAATTATAAAATTTTAAATCAAATTAAATGTTTGTTAAATTAAATCAAATTTAATCATATTTAAATTAGATTTAATTTGAAAATTTCAGATTTGAATTTGATTTGAAGTCAAATATTTGATCAAATCAAATCAAATTGCAGAATTCTAACTAATAATACTAACAATAATACTAACAATAATAAAGAACCAATTAATAATATTAGTAATAAACATTAATTATAACAAAGAACTAATTAATAATATTAATAATAATACTAATAATAAAAAGTACCTAAAAGAGAAAAAGTGTGAAAGTTAATATCAAGAACAAATAAAATAAAGAAAAAACTCATTAAACTAAAGATGTTGGCAAATATATACCAAAGAACTAACTAATAATATTAGTAATAATACTAATAACAATACTAATAACAGAAAACATCTGAAAGTAAAACATTGCAAAAGATAATACAAAAAACAAATAGAACAAAAAAAAGCATACTAAACTAAAGATGTTAATAACTAAATATATACTAAAAAACTAATTAATAATACTAACAATAATATTAATAATGATAAAAAACTAACAATATTAGCAACAATATTAATAATAATAAAGAACTAACTAACAATATCAGCAATAACACCAATAATAAAAAGCATCTAAAAGAGAAAAAGTACAAAAATTAGTATCAAAAACAAACAAAAAAAATATAATAAATCACAGATTTTATATAAATATTTATATGATTACCAATCTTTAATATAATTGGTTTATTATATAGAATTACTATAGTAATAAATCACTATTTATAATTTTTTATTATTTAATTATTTAAGCTAAACATTAAAAAAAAACCAAATTAACAAAAGATAAATTTTGTAAAAAATTGATTATATTATAAAATTTATATTAACTTATAAAAAAATACAGATTTTATCTAAATAAACCCTAACTACTCTTATAAATTTAGGTTACAGATTATATATTTAAGTTTTTATTATTTGTATGTAATTTAAAAAAGCAAGCTATTTTTTGTAAAAACTTTATTTAAATTTTAATAAAGTTAAAAAAATAATCTCATCTTTAATATTTTAAAAAAAATTGATTTCAAAAAATTATACTGTAAAATTTTATTAATACAATAAACATTTCTTTCTTAAGCAAAAATGTTCCTGAACTAATTTCAAATTTAAAAAAATTGACATTTGGTCAGTACCTAACCTATTTGTTCAAGTGTTCAAAACTTTAAATTTTGGTTTTTGGTCAAGGTTTTAAACAATTTTGTCCAATTGCCAAAACTTGTCTGATTGTCCAAATTCCATCACTGTACTATAGTGAAACCTCTCTAAATGCACGCTCTTGGAACTGAGCTATAATGTGCACATAAAAAAGGGTGTGCATTTATAAAATTAATAGTATCCCGAGTCTTTCCGAAGACCATAATGATTTTATTGGTTATAATTTAAACAAGGGATTCGATCCTATTTGTGAATCTGCATCAGATTACATATAAAGCATAACCTTAGGTTCGTTATTGCCCAATCTAAGCTAAAATATCTGATCTGGATATCTGAATCTATCTGGATTTAGAGATCAATTTGAATAGTTGAATTAAGGATCGAAACTCTAATTTAAACCATAAAGTTGTTACATTAACCATAAGAATCAAATTCAAGTATTCGTTTTTTTTTTGAAGCCAGAATGATTTTAAATAGAATTGTTTTACATATAAATGATTATAATGAAGAGCGAGAGAATAAAAGCGACTTCTTAAAAATTTTAAAAATTGCATCTAATTTTCGATCATGATTATCAGTTTTAGATAATGAGAATCTCATTAGTTGCGATAGATTGCATTCATTTTTCTAACAATGATAGTTAAAGGTCGAAACGTCTTTGTTTATGCATGCCATACTTTCTTTACAAGTTCGGTCATTCCTACATCATTGGTATTAAATTCATAACAGCCATAAAGAGCAATAAGTGTAGCCCCTCTTAAACTCCAAGTAAGAACCTTATTTAAGACTGGACTACGACGAGATGGGTAGTAATCTGTAATCATTGCATCGAATCCAAGATGACAATGAAATGGAAGAATGACACCCAAACAAAGATCAGTAATAGGATGTGCCCCGTTTACTACTGATGTAATAGTAAGTGGAATCAAAGATAAAGATAAAAGTCGTTCAAAATCCCAATGATATGATCCTGCAACTTTGTCTTTTGGAGGAAGTACAACTGCCTCGTTTACTGTGCCTTTTATGTATTCTTTATAATTATCGTTATATTAGTAACTATTTTTAAGAATTATAATTTTTGATTTCGGAAGAAAAATATAGGCTATTTACCTGCACCATTTTCAAGAGTTTTAGTAGCCTGAAACGCACTAACTCGACCTATCCAATTATCATTTTTAATGTGAAACATGATTCAAAAAACTACATATTTTGTTACATAAAAAACCCCATTTTCAAAGCTCACCGATATGAAAACTTGCAATTTTAACGACAGGCGTTAAACGAAAGGAATGTACGGAACGAATTAATTGCGAAATTGTCATAAGTCTTAAGTATATTTGTTTATTGAAATGATAAATTCAATAAACTCTGATTTTTTATCGTATTTGTATGCACAATTAGAGCTTCATTATTCGAATAATATTTATATTCAGTGAATATTCGAATAAGAAGAATTTATTATTCATCATGTGAAACTTCAGTCATTGGCTGGTTCGCATATAGTGACTATATACACTCCGAATGGTCTGGTTTTCAGAGTTTATTAAAGGTTAGGTTCGAATTTGAGAGTTGAGAGGAACTTCGAATAAATAGTACTTATTTGAATAATATTAGTCATTCGAATAAGAACCAGTAAGCTCTGCACAATAAGTATCGATGGTATTGATATGCTACGCCTACAATTAAACTTATGTATTCTTTATTAAACCTCACATTTCTGATCATGTTTATACAAGTTCTGCAAAAACCTATTAAGATTTTAGGAGGTAGGTTTCAATGTCGAATATTCTGATTCGGTTCAATTAAGAGTTGAGAATTGAAAAAGGATGTTTCTTATTATATTGATATTTTTGTTCATTTTTATTAAACACTGAAAACACAAGTTTTGTTTAATTCTAGTTTTTTGTTAAGGTATTTACAAATTTTACAAGTCTTTGAAATATAATGTTTATCATAAAGTATAACTTTACATTAACAGTATTTTCTTGTTTTTTTTTTTTAATTAAATGTTACTCAAAACAACAATGAGAATTGCTTTTGCAATTTTACTTTTTATTTGTTTATTAGTTTTTTTATTATTTTTTGTATCAAATTTAGAAAATAATATTGTATGATATTGTTTTACAATCTACTTGATAAATTTTTTGTTAATTTATTAATAAGATTTTAAATCTTTTTTTTAATCTTTTTTATTATTATTTTTAAACTTAGTCTTTTTAAGATTAGAAATTTTTTATTCAGTAAAAATTTCAAAAATTTTTTTATATTAAAGAGTACAACTAGTTTCATATACACTTTTGGTGTTTAATTTAAGTAGCTTGTTTACATTATAGGTTCTATACTAAGTGTTATATTAGCAACCTAATTACAAATATTGCTTATTTAAACTTTTTGTAATATAGTTTTATTTTTATTATTATTATGTTTTTTTAGTATTAAAATAAGTATATACAATTTAGAATTTTATTAGTAATATATATATATTGGCAAGCATTTGTTAATAAGGGCCTGCAAATTGTCTATTTTTGAAACTTGGTCCAGTCTGCATTTAGGATTAAAATTTTTTTGCTAGTCTGGCTCAGCCCACATTTAGGGTTAAAATTTTTTCTTTAGTCTAGTTCACAAAAATTTCTTATATAATTTTACAAAATTTTAAACTTGACCTGACTTACAATTATAAAATTTTGCAAATTTTTCAGTCTGACCCAACTTGCAATTATAAAATTTTGCTTTAGGTTTAACTTAATCCACAAAAATTTGTAGACTGAGTCAGGTTGTAAAACCTAATGCAGATTTCTACCTATTGATATAACAATAAAAAGATAATTATAGAAAGAGTATACAACTAGTTACTTATACAATTTTAGTTATTGTCTAATTTAAGTAGTCTGTTTAAAGGTTTTATACTAGTTACTATATCTAAGATCTATTTGTAGATTCTTTATTTAAACATTTTGATTTTATATTTATTATACTTTACTAATGACTTTAATAAACTGATGAAAATATATTATAGTTGTTAAATTATATTTAACTTTGTACTAAAATCTACTAGAGCCTTCTATATCTTATACTTATAGCTAATCTGGTATCACTTTGGTCTAGACTATTATTTGCAATTAGAATTAATTATTAAGCTACTATATTCTTATAAAGTTTACTCAAAATTTCAGTACTTATCTTTTCAATATCTTCTTTCTTATTTTTTACAATCATTACTTAGAATCAACAGAACTTTTCAGACTTTTAATTTAGATAGCTTAGTATGATATATCTTAGTATCTTTTTCTTTAATGATTCTGGCAGTTTGGCTGGTCATGTGCTCCTTTACATATCTTGCTATCTGGTTTATTCTTTATTCCTTTGAAGGTGTTTTATAAGCTTTCATCAATCTGATAGCACTATTAAAAGTTTTGTATTATATTCTTACTTGGGATTTTCAAGTAGATTTTTGATTTTTTAGTTCTTTTGCTTTATACACTTGGTCTTATTGTGAGTTTACACTAAAGTTTTATACAATACCAGTTATTAATATTTTTCTATATAGAAATAATATTGTTATAGAACGATTTATTAATATTTTATTATTATTAGTTTTTTTTTTTTTTTTTTTTTTTTTTTGGAGTTAAGGTGAGGTCATGCCTCAGGTCTGTTTATTCGAACATATTG